CGAATAAGAAATACCTTGCCTAGGTATAGAGCGAGATTTCTTGCATTTAAGCTTCTTATGTGGAGTGATCCGGTAGCAGAACCCAAAGGAAGAACCTGAAAACCTGGAACATCAGCAGCATGTCTAGAATGCAGGTCGTGATAGGTCAAAGCACGCCGAGCTGCCGAAGTGCTGAGACGGAAACACCCTGGTCGGATAGCCCTAGCCAGTAGCCAGAAGCCGCAGGGATGAGTAGCGTTCAAAAACTAGCCCGAAAAGTGATCGGTGAAGAGCCCACATAGATAGGTGGCGCCTCTGAATGGGCCGCCCCCCCAAAAAACAACGGGCCATCGGCCCGAGGCATTGAAACTTTCCAGTCACACCTGAGTGAACTGCTGTGAAATTCGTCTGTAGTTCATGGCATGTGGCTGTCATTGTAGCTGGCCAGGGAGGCGTGGGGGCTGAATATTCTGCCTCGGCAGCACTGATGCAACAGTTTTTTTGCTAATCTGGTATTAAAACACCCTTGGAACTGTTAAGAGCTCAAACGGAAGGCAACTGAATTCATAAGTAAATTCTGATGGGGGCTTGTTTGTAAACTCTAGGGTGTTTCCCAACTCAATGGTATTGACTTCAGAAGTTTACAAGGAAACTGTTGTTTATTGGAACCTGTGGGCTGTCTGTTTCCTTTGCCTGATGCAGGTACGGTGTCTGAGCTAGAGGATTTCCTGAAATTAGTAGCCTCCTGGTGCTTGGCTTCTGCTTCCATAGCTTCTTGAAATTTGCTACGAAATAAATCCACTCCCTGAAGGGCAAGAGATTCGAGTCACATCCTTGCCCTTCAGAGGGTACAAAAATGGTATCTGGGACATTAGCCCCTGGTACCAAGCATGGCGATGTGAACGAATTGATCCACGCAAATCGAAGGCAGTCGTCCGAACAACAGAAACTCAGCTCCAATGCTTGGGGAGAAACAATAGTCTGCCTTGAATGAACAGACTAAGAACTCTAACAGGAGTTGCAGAAAACAGGACACCCGCAGACACACATGAGCAGTTGTGTCTACTTTCCCAAGTGCATTTTCAATTCAATTCAATTCCTTTCGTGGCTGGCAAATGGGGATTTATGTGACGTGTGGCTGGCGGAATCAGCTGTGATTTTATCTCTGAAACCGCAGGCCCACGAAGCACAGACCCGGACCCCGTGTGGTCTGAGCTCTTATTTCTTTGTATATAGGGAGTAGGGGCTGGAAGCCCACAAGACGCAGCCCTTTTCCACGGTTTCGATGTACCAGAGGCCTGGAAATTATGTCTTGGTATGTGGGAAACCTTGTAGAGTGTTCTTACTGGTGCCAAAAGCCAGGGAAGAATGTCCCTGATAATAGACTTAGATGAGCCCGATTTGACTTCGACGATCGCCTGCGATGCCAAGAATTCGGCAAAGTACATGCAGTCGAATTGACTGATCAGTGGGAACGAGGCAAAGCCAAATGGTCACTGCATCCCATTCCTCATCACCCCAAGTAAAGCAGATATATGTTGTTTTCAGGCGCACAAGGATGGCAACAGGGACACAAGTCATGTGGGTCTAATCAAGCTCTGGGTTTACTGTGATGACAGAAGCCACATTTGGGTAGAGTAATATGGTGTTTACTGATGCGTGACTCTGCCATTTTAAGCCTATATCGAACAAGTGGTAATTTTCCAGTGACAAAAATATGGAGAAGGGAAACAACAAATACATATTCATTATCTGTGAAACAGAAACCAACCACACACACTTGGTAGAATCAACTTACAAAATAGATGAATACATGTTTATACAAGAACAAGTGATAATGAAGGGAGATTTGCAAGCCTTCAGGAGTGTGAAAATAATACGTCTCACCAGTGTGAAGGCTAGAAAAAACAGGACAAAAGTACCAGATTAAAAGTACCACTTTTAACTGTAGTATTAAAAAAGTTGCAATTTGCGCATTAGCTACTGAGAAACATGCAAATGTAAGGTTTAACAGGTAAGGGGGGCCCAGAAGTGCAGTACCTGTGTTTAATCAATGCAATACTGCATGTTTGTAACATTTCAGGATCACTGCATACAAAATTGAAGTACCGCAGACTATTTCAAGATGTACTTTGCGTCGGGGAAAATATTTATTTTATTGCAGGTTTTGCCCTCACCCGACGTATATAAATTTATAAACACTGTATACTCCGTGTTTGTCAGAGTCTTCAAAAAAAATTCACAAGCTTACTCTTGTGGGACTCGAATTAACATCTCCCCGATGCAAAGTACATCTTGAAATAATTCCTGGTACCTGCTGCTATATCTGACTCGGACCGGCCAGCTGACCCCGGCAAGATCGGTGGTTGAGCGGTTAAGACGTCTGTATTAGTAAGCAGGAGGTTGTGGGTCAATCATTTTAATGACATCATAATGACATCACACACAAGTCTCCATTACGCAGACTCCTATTTTTCATCCGAAAGCTATCGTACAACAAAAACAATTTCAAAGAATTGTGCTGATTCAGTAGGTATTATGAAAGGACTGTTTCCATTCTTAACATTCACACTGCACTTACAAAACTTCACCAGAATCTGACCTGCTGTAGTTTTAAAGTAAATGTATTTGGCCTTTGTATACATAATATGCACCTTTAACATGATGTCATGTGACATTTTAATTTTTGGACTATCTGCAGTACTAGATGTCCGATGTCCAGATACAAACATGTGCATGTACATGTATTGTTGCAAACGTAGATAGTAAAGTTCCAGCGCCCCCGTGTTTTACTCATGTGTTCCTTCACTACTTTGTCTCTGTGGTTTCTCTGCCGAGTTTGGACACGTGACTTATTCTGTACTTAACCTTTTTGCTCATGACTCTAGCAGAAGTCATGTGACCCTTTGAGATGGCAGATTCCCATTGGTTGAGTGCTTCAATGATGTTCATATTTTATTAATTTACTAAGCCAATTGAGCCCAATAAATGGAGATTTTGCCTAGCTCGAGGGTCAGATGCAGCGGACCTAACTCTTGTTGTGCGGAGTGAATCCTTACATAGTGAGGAAGTTGGATCCTTTCCAAGAGTGGTGAGGTAGTTCCAAAATACCCATTCTTATGATGAAGTGCGTGAGTAAACATATGAATGCCCAGTTAGCTTAGCTTGGACTAAGTGTGTTGTGAACTAGCCCAGGTTGCAAGTAGGGAGAGTTGCCGTATCGTAGTGGCCTGTCACTGCTACGTCTAAACCGTTGGCCGAGTGAGATGCTCCATGTTCCTCGCCACTCTGGTCCTGCTAACAAGCCCCAGTCCTCCCCGTCTATACGCTGAACCAGTGATGCAGTGCAGCAATTCGATCATTACATTCACCCAATTCTAGTCTGAGTGGCAGTGTGGCAACTCCCACCATGATCCTGTGGGTCTGAAATTCCAACGGTCCTGCCAAGCTGTAGTCGAGTTACATACGACTTTGTGCCTATAACTTCGCCTCTCATGTGTTGCAGTGTTACGTTAAGCTACACCTCCTTCAAAACCATTTATGAACTTAGATGAAGCAATGGAAGAGAAGTGACAGCAATAAACTAGCGATACAGTCTGAATGTCACCCGAACCCTTGTATCCCGTTCATTTAAAAAAATTGTTGACCCTGAATACCACATCTTTTTTGAACAATGGTAAAAGTCCAAGCTGCCACAAGCCTGATATTTAGTAAATGCAACAGTATATTGTGCGTTTAGTTTCGAGTTGATTGGAATTGGAAAGTCCTTAAGTACAAACCCAAACACACATGTGATTGAGGCAGGGCCAATTTTCAGTTGTTATTCTATTGTTTAGAAGATAGGAGTAG